TGTTCACGTCCTTTCACTAATGGCACAAGTCAATGTCAAAAATAATGCATGTCCCCTCAGTTACTCTGCAGTACTTCATTCGCTTAAGTTAATCATTTACCAGAACAATTTCCATTGCACCTTAGTGTTTCCATCCTTTTTCCACTATTGATAATACTTGTGAAAACATTACATCCGCTGCAACGGCATTGATCATAACACAAATGATTTCCTCTCGACCCCACAGGGTATCAGGAACGCGCGCGGAAGTACAAGATTAAGTGATGACATACGCTTCGTACATTTTACTCTACGTATACTACAAATCAGGACGAAACTTTACAAATTGTTGTTTCTAAAAAAAACAATTTGGCCCATAGAGTAACGTCATCGCACAAAAATTCAGCAGCGTCAAAAATCTAGCCGGAAAACACAGATACATATTTCAGACAATCAGGGACAAAAGTAGTTGACACACTTGTTTAAAACGGGTGCTTTTAGCAAACATTTAATTCATCTATTATTTCATTCTTTTTAAACGCCGTAAATCCCCTCACCCCCCGAATCAATGTTGTCTGAAGTAAAAAAAAGACTTGAGGGTCCAAAATTCAACATTGATTTTGGGGGGGAAGGGGTTGGGGTAGACAGGGGAATGGGATAAGTATATCCACTATGCAAAAAGGGGCCATTTTACGGAAGTGTGCCAACACTTTTGTCCCTCATTGTAGCTTCGCACGTAAATTAGGGAAGCCATAAGTGAATTGTAACCCAGTAATACTGTAGGTATAGCTAACAAACCTAGGCTGGACTTATGGCTTGACACCCATAATTGTAGTGTAAGGCAGATTTTCCTTAGGTAGTGCTTACAAACATATGTTGCACTTAAGGTAGCGCTCCCAGAATTGTTGTGTAACCCAGGAATTTAGTAGGTAAAGCTTTCAACCATTGGCCGCACTTAAGGTGGCGCACCCATAAGAGTAGTTAAACTCAGTTATTCTTTAGGTAGAGCTTACAAATAGAGCTGCACTTATGATGGCGCACCAACAAGTGCGGTGTAACCCAGTAATTCTCTAGGGAAAGCTTACAAATTTAGGCTGCACTTAAGGTAGCAAACCCAAAAGTGCAGTGTAACCTAGTGCTTCTGTAGGTAGAGTATACAAGGAGAGGCTTTGCTTAAGGTTGCGCACAAATAAATGTAGCGTAAACCTTTGATGCTCTAGGTAAAGCTTACAAACACAGGTTGCCCTTAAGGTGGCAAACCCATAAGTGAAGTGGAACTCTGTGATTCTGTAGTAGGTAGCACTTAAGGTGGGAAACCCATAAGTTTTATGTGACTCAGTAATTCTGTAAGTAGAGCGAACAAACATGGGCTCCATTTAAGATGGAAAACCCATAAGTTTAGAGTAACCCAGTGATTGTGTAGGTAGTGCTTTCAAACATAGGCCGCTCTTAATGTTGTACACCCTTCAGTGAAGTGTAACCCAGTGATCCTGTAGGTAGAGCTAACAAACTAAGACTGGACAGGTTGTGCACCTATAACTGTAGTGTAACCCAGTGAATCTGTAGCTAGAGCTCTAAACATAAGCTGCACCTAAGGTTGCGAAGCCATAAGTATGGTGTAACAAAGTAATTTTGTAGGAAAGGCTCACAAATATAGGCTGCACTCAAGGTGGCGTCGCCATAAGTATGGTGTAACGCAGTGATGGTGTAGGTAAAGCTTACAAACATAGCCTACAGTTAAGGCTACGAACTTATAAGTGTAGTGTAACCCAGAGATTCTGTAGGTAGAGCTTAGAAACATAGGCTGCACATAAGGTGGCGAAACTGTAAGTATGGTAGGACAAAGTAATTCTGTAGGGAAGGCTTGCAAATATATTCTCTAGGTAGTGCTAACAAACATTGGCTGCACGTAAGGTCGGACACCCATAAGTGTAGCGTAACCCAGTGATTCAGTAGGTAGAGTTTACAAACACAGGCTGCACTAAAGTTTGCACACCCATAAGTGTAGTGTAACTCAGTGATTCTGTAGGTAGAGCTAAGAAACATAGGCTGCACTTAAGGTTGGACATTCATAAGTGTAGTGTAACGCAGTGATTGTGTAGGTAGCGCTTACAAACATAGGCTGCACTTAGACCCAAAAGATGGGAAATTTACAGAATACTGTCATACGCCTCCGAATCTTCTATTGCAGCAAGATCCAATGTGCTACTCACTAGAGCGACATTGCTGAAACCACGCTGCACTTTACTTACTCTACTACTCAAAAGAAAGCTAATTTTTAAAACAATAGGAGAGACTTCAGAATCATCGTTTTAATTAAGTTTTACGGTCCTAATAATTAAAGCGACACTTTTAAGCACTTATTGTGAAAATACACTTCACGCCATTATTGATTAAGAAAAGGCAAATTTTTAAAATACTGTCAGACGGCTGCCACATATCGTTTTTAGACAAGATTCAAGTAATTATAAAAAGAGCAATATTTGAAAGCTTTTTCGATGAGATCTGCACTTAACCCCGTTACCAACAATAGATTTCGAATTTGAAAAATACTGTCAGACATCTTTGAATCGCCGTTCTTCGGAGGTTTCAACGTGGAAGTCGCTAATTTTCAAAACACTGTCAGACGCCTCTGACTCATCGACTTCAGCTAGTCTTTCGGTTCTTATGATTTGAGCAACATTTTAAAGCTTTTTCTAATCCCATTACCACTAGAAAACATGGCCGATTTCAAAAATTCCCTAAAACGCCCAGTATCATCGATTAAGTAGTCTCCCGATCCTTATCGTAAAGCAAGATTTTAAGGATGTTTTTGTAAATACGCATTTAACCCTTTAACCAGCAAAAGGAAAAACCAATTAGCAAAATACTGCCAGTCACGTTACTGCCAATCAATACTGATCATTTTCGACAACTGTGACTGCTCTTATCATACGAACGAAGTTTTGGAGCTTTCATTGTGAAATCTGTACTTAACTCCATAACAACCCAAAAGACTTGCAGTTTATAAAGTATTTTCAGGGTGTTCTCAAGCATTGATCTCAAGTAGTCTCACTGTGCTTATCTATGAAGAGATATTTTCAAGCTCTCTCTGTAAAATTTCCAGTTAACCCCGTTATCATCAGAAAGATATCCAATGGGTAAAATACCACCAGACTCCTCCTAGTCATCGTTTTCATCTATTCTGGCGGTACTTAAAAATAGAGCAACATTTCAAAGCTCTTACAGTGAAATCTTTACTTAACCAAAACTAAGACACAAAAGATGACCAGTTTGCAAAAATACTGTCAAACGCTTCTGAAACACCTTTTTCGCCAAGTTGCACGGTGCTTATCATTATAGCGACATCTTTGAGCAATTAGTGTGAAAACTGCATTTCACGTGATTACGACCCAGAAGTTGCCCAATTTAAAAAACGCTCAATCAGATACCTTAATTATCTTTTTAGGCAAGTTTCAAGGCGCTAGACATTAGAGCAACATTTTTAAGCTTTTGAGGTAAAAACTCCACATCACGCCATTATGACTCAAAACAAGGCCAATTTAGAAAATACTTTCAGACTTCTCTTAATATTCCTTTCTTGCAAGTTTCAGGATGTTAATCATTAGTAGGACATATTTTAGCACTTACGGTAAACACTGCATTTCACGCTATTACGACCAGAAAGGTGGCCATTTTCCAAATACGGTCAGACGCCACATAATCTTCGATTTTAGCCAGTCTCACAGAGTACAGGGGGTTACAAAAGGGTACGAGGGCTTACAAGCGGTTACATAGGGTTACAGGGGGTTAAAGGGGTTTAGAAGGGGTTAGAGGGGGTGAAAGGGGTTACAGGGGTTACAAAGGGTTATAAACGATTACAAGGGGCTAGAAGAGGTTAAAAGGGGTGACAGGGAGTTACAGGGAATGAAAAAGGTTCACAGGGAGTTACAAAGGGTTACAGGAGGTTACAGAAGGTTGAAAGCGATTACAAAGAACAGAAGGGGTTACAAGGGTTACATGGGGTTACAAGGGGTTACAGTGAGTTAGAAGGTGTTACAGGGGTTACAAGGGGTACGGGGAGTAACAAGGGATTACAAGGGGTAACTTGTAATAAAAAGGGGTTACAGTAGGTTACAAGGGGTTCCAGGGTTTAGAAGGGGTTACAACCGGCTACAGGGGCTTAAAAAGGGTTAGAGGTTACAAGGGCTTACTGGGGTTACAAAGGGTCATAAAGGATTACAGGGGATTAGAGGGGGTTAGAAGGGCTTACAGGGAGTTACAGGGGCTTAAAAGGGGTCAAAGGGAGTTACAAAAGGTTACGGGGGGTTACAGAAGGTTACAAGGGGTTACAAGGAATACAAAAGGTTACAAGGGGTTACAGGTGGTAACAGGGGATTACAAAGAGTTAAGGAGGGTTACAAGAGGTTACATGGGCAACAGGGGGTTACATGGGGTTAGAAGGGGTTAGAAGGGGTTAAACGTGGTTGGAAGACGTTACAAGGGGTTACGGGGGTTTACAACGAGTTACAGGAAGTTACAGGGAGTTAAAAGGGTTACAGGGGGTTACAGGAAGTTACAAGGAGTTACAGGGGTTACAAAGGGTAATGAAGGATTACAGGGGATTAAAAGAAGTTACAGGAAGTTACAGGAGGTTAAAAGGGGTCACAGGCAGATACAAAAGGTTACAGGGGGTTACAGGGGGTACCAGGAGGAAACAGAGGGTAACAAGGATTTAAGAGGGGTTACAAGGGGTTACAGAAGGTTACGTGGTTGCAAGAGGTTACAAGGGGTGACAGGGGGTTACAAGGCGTTAGAGGCAGTTAGAGGCAGTTACAAAGGATCACAGAAAGTGACAAGGGGTTACAGGGGGTTAAAGGAGGTTAGAAGGTTACAAGGGGTTAAAAGGGGTTAAACGGGCGTAAAAGCGATTACATAGGGTTAGGAGGGGGTTAAAGGGGCTTACAAGGCGTCACATGGGGTTGCATGGGGTTACAGTGAGTTACAAGGGGTAACACGGGGTTGCGAGGCGTTAAAGTGTGTTACAAGGAGTTACAGGGGTTTACAAGGGGTTACAGAGGTTTACAAAAGGTTACAAGGGGTTACATGGGGTTAGAACGGGTTACAGGGGTTACAAGGGGTTACAGGGGGTTACAAGGGCTTACATAGGGTTACAAGGGGTTACAGGGGGTTACAGGTGGTTGCAAGAGGTTACAAGGGGTTACAGAAGGTAACAGGGGTTTAGAAAGAGTTAAAGAGGGTTACGAAAAGTTACAAGGGGTTACAAAGAGTTACAAGGGATTAAAGGGGGTTACAAATGGTTGGAAGAGGTTGCAGGGGGTTACAACGGGTTACAAGAAGTTACAAGGGGTTACATGGGTTACATGGGGTTACAGGGTTTACAAAGGGTACAGGGCGTTACAAGGCATTAAAGGGCCTTACAAGGGGTTACAGAGGTTTAGAAAAGGTTACAAGGGGTTACAGGGGCTTACAAGGAGTTACATAGGGTTGCAACGGGTTACAGCGGGTTACAAGGGGTTACAGGAGGTTACAAGGGCATACATAGGGTTACAAGGGGTTACAGGATTTTACAGAAGGTAAAGGGGGTTACAAAGAGTTAAAGGGGGTGACAAGGGGTTACGAGGTATATAGGGGGTTACATTGGGTTTCAAGGGTGTAGAGATGTTGCAAGAGGTTACAAGGGGCTACGGGGGTTACAAGGGGTTACAGGGAATTACAGGCCGTTACAAAGGGTCACAGGGAGTTACAAGGGGTTACAGAGGGTTAAAGGGGGTTACAAGGAATTACAGGGTGCTTCAACTGGTTACGAGTGATTACAGGGTGTTACCAGGGGTTACAGGGGTTAAAAGGGGTTACAAGTTCTTAGAGAATGTTAAGGGAGTTATTGGGGGTTACAGGGGTTAAAAGGAGCTACAGGGCGTTTCAAGGGGTTACCCGGAATCACAAAGGGTTACAGGGGGTTACAAGGGGTGGCGATGTGTCGCAAGTGGTTACGTGGAGTTACAAGGGTTTACAGCGGCTGACCATGGCTTACAAAGAGTTACATAGGGTTACAAGCGGTTACAATGGGTTACATGGGGTTACAAAAGGTTACAGGGGGTTACAAGAGGTTAAAGGGGGTTGATAGGGTTTACACGGGGTTACAGAAGGTTACAAGGTGTTACAGGGAATACGAGGGGTTACAAGAGGCTACCGGGGGTTTCAAGCGGTTACAGGGGGTTACAAGGGGTGACAGGGGTTACAAGAGGTTATAGGGGGTTACAAGAAGTTACCGGGAATTACAGGAGTTAAGGGGGGTTACAAGGGCTCTTATGAGGATGCAACGGGTTACAGGGGTTTATGTGGCGTTACCGAGGGTTACAAGGGGTTACAGGGGTTTATATGGCTTTACCGAGGGTTACAAGGGGTTACCAGGGGCTACAATGGGTGACAAGAGCTTAGAAGAGGTTACTGGGGCTAAAAAGGGGTTACGAGGGGTTACAAAGGGTTACAGGGGGCTACAAGACCTAGAGGGGGATACAAGGAGTTACAGGGGGTTACAAGGGGTTACAAGAGGTTATAAGGAGTTACAGGGGGTTACCGGAGGACACAAGAGGTTACAAGAGATTACTAGGGGTTACAAGTGGTAACAAGGGGTTACATGGGGTTAGAAGAAGTTACAAGGGGTTAAAAGGTTGCAAGATGTTACAACGGGTTGCAGATGTTACAAAGGCTTACCTTGAATTACGGGTAGTTACAAAGGGTCACATTGAGTTACAAGGGGTTACAGAGGGTAACAGGGGTTTACAAGGGATTACAGGGGGTTAATAATAATAATAATAATAATAATAACCTTTATTTATTACCTTTGGCGGTAAGAATTACTGTAATATTACAATAAAAATTTAAAACAGTACATATTAAATATACATCTCAAATTAAGTTAAGTTTAGCACCTCTAGGAATAAATGATTGTTTGTGCCTAACAGTGCGTGATACAGGTATTCTGAGGTGCGCTGGGGTAGTCTTACAAGATGTTAGATTATGGCCATGATCCACTGGCTTTTCTAAAAAACGTTTACAAGGATGAGCTTCTGATTCTAGGATACGTCTAAATTCTTTCCTCAACAAATTCTGACGCCTAGTTACAAGTGACTCAACAGTATCCCTAGGGAGACCAATGAAATTTTGACATGTATTCTGCACTCTCTGTAGAAGGGGTTACAAGTGATTACAGGGGGTTACCAGGGGTTACCAGGGGTTACAGGGGTTAAGAAAGGTTACCAGGGGTTTTAAGTAGAAACAAGGGGTTACAGCGGGTTAAGGGCGATACCGGGGTTTACAGGGATTACAAGGGGTTACAGGGCGTTTCAAGAGGTTACCGGGAATCACAAGGGGTTACAGGGGGTGACAAGGGGTTACAAAAGGTTAGAGGGGGTTATAGGTGGTTGGAGGAGGTAAGAAGAGGTTACCAGGCGTTACAAAAGCTTACAAGGGGTTACGTCGGGTTACAAAGGGTTACAGCCGTTGACAAGGGCTTACAAGGAGTTACATACCGTTACAAGCGGTTACAAGGGGTTACAATGGGTTAGAAGGGGTTAAAGGGGTTACAAGGGGTTAAGGGAGGTTAAAAAGGTTTACAGGGAATACGAGGGGTTACAAGGGGCTACCGGCGGTTACAGGCGGTTAAAAGAGGTTACAAGGGGTTACAAGAGGGAACAGGGGGTTGCAAGGGGTCTTAAGGGGATTACAAGGGGCAACAGGGGGTTACAAGGGGTGACAAGAGGTTAAAGGTCGTTGCAAGAAGTTACAAGAAGTTACAGGGGGTTACAAGGCGTTACAGGGAGTTAAAGGCCGTTACAAACGGAAACTGGGACTTACAAGGAGTTACAGGGCCATACAGGGGTTTACAAAGCGTTATGGAGGGTTACAGTGGTTACATTGGGTTACAAAAGGTTTCAAGAGGTTACTCGGAATTACAAAGGGTAGAGGGGTTACAAGGGGTGACAAGGGGTTACAAGGGGTTGCAAGCCGTTACAGGTGGTTACAGGAGATTACAGGGGATAAGAGGAGGTAACATTGGTTAAAAAAAGTTACGAGGGGTCACAGGAGGTTACAGGGGGTTACATGGAGTTACAAGGGGTTACTAGGGGTTAGAGGGGATTAGGAGGGGTTGCAAGAGGTTACAAGGGGTTACATGGAGTTACAAGTTGTTACATAGGGTTACAAGGGGTTACTAGGGGTTAGAGGAGCTTACAAGGGGTTACATGCGGTTACAAGGGGTTACTGTGGGGTAAAAGGGGTTACATGGCTTAGAAGGGGTGACCGGGGGTTACAAGAAATTAGAAAAGGTTACAGGGGCTTACAAGGGCTTACATACGGTTACATAGGGTTACAGGGGCTTACAAGGGGTTACATGGGGTTACAAGGGGTTACATTAGGTTACAAGGGGTTATAGGGGCTTACAAGGGGTTACATAGGGTTACAAGGGGTTACGGGGGCTTACAAGGGGTTACATGGGGTTGCAAGGGGTTACAGGGGTTAGTAGGGGTTACATGGGGATACAAGGGGTTAGAGTGGGTTGCAATGGGTTACACGGGTTATAAGGGGTTACAAGGGCTTAAAAAGAGTTACAAAGGGTTACAAGGTGTTACAGGTGGTTACAACAAGTTACAAGGGGTTACAGAGGATTAGAGAAGGTAACAGGGGGTTACAAAGGGTTAAATGGGGTGACAAGGTGTTACAAGAGGTAACAGGGGGTTACATTGGGTTTCAAGGTGTAAAGGTGGTTGCAAGAGGTTACAAGGGGTTACAGGGGGTTACAGGGGTTACAGGGAGTTACAACCAGTTACAAAGTGTTACAGGGAGTGACAAGGGGTTACCGGGGGTTACAGAAGGGTAGAAGGTTAGAAGGGGTTACAATGGGTTACAGGGGCTTACAAGGGGTTACGAGGAGTTAAAGAGTGTTACAGGTGGTTACAAGAGGTTACAAGGGGTTACATGGCGTTACAAGGGGTTAAAGGTGGTTGCTGGAGGTTACAAGGAGTGACAAGGGGTTACAAGCGGTAAAAAGAGGTTATATGGGATTACAAGCGGTTACAGCTGGTTACAGGAGGTTACATGGGGTAACAGGGGGTTACAAGGGGTTACAGAGGCTGAAAAGGGGTTACATGGCGTTACAAGGGGTCAAAGGTAGTTGCAAAAGGTTACAAGAGGTTACAAGGGATTAAGAAAGGTAACAGGATGTTAGAAGAGGTTAAAGGGGGTTACAAGGGGTTAAATTAGGGTTACAAGGAGGGACATGGGGTTACAAGGGGTTACAGGAGATTACTAGGGGTGACAAAGGTGTACAAGAGGTTAAGAGAGGTTATAGCGGGTTAAAAGCGGTTAGAGGTGGTTACAGGAGGTTACAAGGGCTTACATGGCGTTTCAAGAGGTAAGAAAATGCTAGAGGGGGTTACAGGTGGTTGCAAAAGGCTAAAAAGGGTTAGAAAGACTTACAGGAGGTTAAGACGGGTTAAAAGGGCTTAAAAGGGCTGAGAACGGCTTACATAGAGTTACAAGGGGTTAAATGGGGTTACATAGGGCTGAAAGCGGTTACAAGGTGTTAAAATAACTTACAGGGTTACAGGTTACATGGGATTACAAGGGGCTACAGTGGATTACAAGGGTTTACAGGGGTTACGGGGGTTAAAAGAGCTTACAGGGGGTTACAAGGGGTTAAGACGGGTTACAAAGGGTTATTGGGGGTTACAAGGAGTACATGGCGGTTAGAAGGGGTTAGCGAGGCTTACAAGGTTACATAGGGTTACAAGGGGTTACAGAAACTTAAAAAAGGATTCATGGGGTTACAAAGGGTAATGAAGGACTACAAACGGTTAGAAGAGGTTAGAAGGGGTTGCACGGAGTTAAGAGGGGTTAAAACGTTTCACAGGGAGTTCTAAAGTGTTATAGGGGGTTACAGAAGGTGACTGGGAGTTACACTGAATACAATTGGTTACAAGAGGTTACAGGGGGTTACAAAGGGTTTCAAGAGATTACAGGGGGTTACCGGGGTGTACAGGAGGGTTACAAGGGGTTTAAAGAAGATACAAAGGGATACAGGGGGTTACAGTAGTTCACAGGGGTTGGAGGGATTTACAACAGGTTACAAGGCGTAAAATACGTTACAGAGGGTAACAAGGGGTTTCAAGGGTTTAAAGCGCGATTAAAGGGGGTTACAGGAGGTAAGAAGGAGTTATAAGGGGTTTCAAGGGGTTACAACGGATTACAGAAGAGTACAGGTGGTTACAGAAGGTAACAAGGGATTACAAGGGGTTAAGGGAGGTAACAGGGGGTTACAAGGGGTTACAAGGGGTTACATTTGGTTACAAATGGTTACAAGGTGTTACAGGGGTTACAAGGTGTTACAAGAGGTTACAGGGGTTGCAATTGGTGATAAGAGGTTATACGGGGTTGCAAAAGGTTACAGGAGCTAACAAGGCGTACAGGGGGTTACAAGGGGTTACAGGGGCTTACAAAGGGTTATAGGAGCTTACAAGGGGATACATGGGGTTAAAACGGGTAACTGTGGGTTACAAGGGGTTACCCAGGCTTGCAAGGGGTTACAGGAGGTTACAAGGGGTTAAAATGGGTCACAGGGAGTTGCAAGGGGCTACAGGGGGTTACAAATGGTTACAAGGGGTTACAGGGGGTTACAAATGGTTACAAGGGGTTACAGGGGGTTACAAAGTGTTACAAGGGATTACAGAGGGTTACAAGGGGTTAAATAGGGTTACAAGGGGTTATAGGAGCTTACAAGGGGATACATGGGGTTACAACGGGTTACTGTGGGTTACAAGGGGTTACCTGTGCTTGCAAGGGGTTACAGGAGGTTACAAGGGGTTAACATGGCCACAGGGAGTTACAAGGGGCTACAGGATGTTACAAATGGTTACAAGGGGTTACAGGGGGATTCAAGGTGTTACAAGAGGTTACAGGGGTTGCAATTGGTGATAAGAGGTTATACGGGGTTGCAAAAGGTTACAGGAGCTAATAAGGCGTACAGGAGGTGACAAGGGGTTACAGGGGCTTACAAAGGGTTAAATAGGGTTACAAGGGGCTATAGGAGCTTACAAAGGGATACATGGGTTACAACGGGTTACTGTGGGTCACAAGGGGTTACCCGGGCTTGCAAGGGGTTACAGGAAGTTACAAGGGGTTAAAATGGGTCACAGGGAGTTACAAGGGGCTCCAGGGGGTTACAAAGTGTTATAACGGATTACAGAGGGTTACAAGGGGTTACAATGGGTTACAAAGGGTTACAAGGGATTACAGGGGTTACATGGGGTTACAGGGGGTTACCTGGGCTTAGAAGAGGTTAAGGGGGGTTACAAAAGGTTACAGGGATTACAAAGGGTAATAAAGTGTTACAGGGGCTTAGAGGAGACTAGAAGGGGTTACAGGCAGTTACAAAGGGTTAAAAGGGATCACAGGGAGTTACAGAGGGTTAGAGGGGGTTACAGAAAGTTACAAGGGATTACGGGAAAGACATGGGGTTATAACGGGTAACATGTGTTACAGGAGGTTACAAGGGGTTACAAGAGGATACAGGAGGTTACAGGAGGTTTTATGGGGTTAGAAGGGGTTACATGGGGTTTTATAGGGTTGCAAGGGGTTACAAGGGGTTACAGGGGGTCACAAGGGGTTAGATAACCTTAGAAGAGGTTAAAGGGGGTTACAAGGGATTAAAGGTATTACAAAGAGTAATAAAGGATTACAGGGGGTTAGAGGCGGCTAAAACGGGTTACAGGGAGTTTCAAGATTTTAAAAGAGGTCACAGGGAGTTATGAGGGGTTACATAGGGTTACAAGGGGTTACAGTGGGTTAGAAGGGGTTACAGGGTTTACATGGGGTTACGGGGGAATACCTGGGCTTAGAAGGGGTTAAAGGGGGTTACAAGGGGTTACAAAAAAGTTAGAGGGGGTTTCTTAGGTTACCCGGAGTTTTAAGGTTTTACTTTGGGGTTACAAGGGGTGACATGGGGTTACAAGGGGTTACAGTGGGTTAAAAGGGGTTACAGGGGTTACAACGGGTTACAGGGGGTTACAAGGAGTTAGATGGGGTTAGTAAAGGTTAAAAGGGGTAGGAAGAAGTTAAACTGATTACTGATTACAGGGGGTTAGAGGCGGCTAAACGGAGTAACAGGGAGTTACAAGGGGTTAAAAGGGGTCACAGGGAGTTACAAGGGGTTACAGGGGGTACAAATGGTTACAAGGGGTTACAGGAGGTTACAAGGTGTTACAAGGGATTACAGGGGGTTATAAGGGGTTACCTAGGGTACAAGGGGTCACAGGGGGTTACAATTGGTGCAAGATGTTATAGGGGGTTACAAGGAGTTACAGGGACTTACATGGGGTAGGGGGCGATACAGTCGGTTAGACAGGCTTACAAGGGGTTACGTGGTTTTACAAGGGGTCACGGTGGGTTGCAAGTGGTTACAGGAGGTTGCAAGGGGTTACACGGCGTTACAAGGGACTACGGGCGCTTACAAGGGGTTACGAGGGGGTTCCAAAGGTTTACACTGGGTTACCAGGGGTACAGTTGGATACAAGAGGTTACAAATGTTTACTAGTGGTTACAAGTGGTAACAGGGGGTTACATGGGTTTAGAAGAAGTTACAAAAGGGTTACGGGGGGTTAGGAGGGGTTACAGGGAATTAGAGTCAGTTACACAGGGTCACAGGGAGTTACAAGAGGTTACAGAGGGTTACAGGGGGTTACAAGGGATTACAGGGGGTTAGAAGGGGTTACAAGTGATTACAGAGGGTTACAGGGGGTTACCAGGCGTTACAGGGGTTAAGTTGGGTTACAAGGGTTTTTTTTTAGTAGATACAAGGGGTTACAGGGGGTTAAGGGCGTTACCGGGGGTTACAGGGGTTACAAGGGTTTACAGGGTGTTTCAAGGGTTTAAGCGGAATCAAAACGGATTAGATGGGTTTACAAGAAGTTACAGTTGGTTACAAGGGGTTTCAAGGGCTTAAAGGGGGTTACATTGGTTTACAGGGGGTTACAGAAAGTTACAAGGGGTAACCAGGGACTTTCAAAGGGTTACATAGGGTTACAAGGGGTTACAAGGGGTTACATGGGGTTATTTATTTCTTTATAACAACTTTTTTCGTAATAATCAATACAAAAACGCTGCCATCAGGGAGGAACTGAATCCTCATGTAAGATAACCCCCTAAAAATATCTACAAAGCTATTAAGGAAATATAAGTCAGATAAAAACTAATATAATGTAAGGAGAAATGTAAAAGATATCACTAAAATATATCTATGAATAATGGAGTTATTAAAAATTATCTAATTATCAAATTAAATATGCAATCGCAACAATTTTATGTTCATTACTTACTAGTTTAAAAAGTGTTCTCTTAAGCCCTTTTTAAATTTTGACAATGAATCGGCACATATTAGAGAATCTGGTAACGAGTTTCATTTATCTATATATCTATGCCAGAAAGAGAATTTTAAAATATTAGTTCTTGAAAAGGTTTCCAAATCTTCGTACTATTTCTTGATCTAGTGCTAGCACGAGAGAAAGATAAATAATTGTCAAGCTTAACTCTCGAGAAACTATTAATAAACTTAAATAATTGAATCATCGATAGATATTCCCTACGGGACTTAAGCTCCATCCAACCAAGGTATTGCAGACGTTCGGTATAATCAATAGGTCCACCAAGGATCCAGCGTGAGACATTTCTTTGGATTCTTTCAAGTTGGTCTGACAGGTAGGCTTGATTGGATAGTTGGATTCCCCCAGTTCAACGGTCAGTTGCTCTAGAATCCTATTTAGAGGAAGTCAAACTACGGCTAACAGAAGTGCCACTAAATAAACCTAAAAACAATCTGCCGCCTGGGGAGCGCCGAGCGCTCCGTGAACTTATTCAAAACAAAGAAATAATCCTTAAGAAAGCAGATAAAGGCACAACAACCGTCATAATGAAAAGAGAGAACAAAATAAATGAGGGACAAAAACAGTTGGATGATAGAAACAACTATCAACCTTTGGAAAAACCAATGGTTAAGGACACATCCCAGAGAGTTAAACACCTCATTAACACTCTACATAACGAAGGTTTCATTGACGAAATGACAGTAAAATGGTTTAACCAGACACCAGATCCGCCACGAATTCCAGTATTCTACACTCTCACAAAAATACACAAACCGACTTTAGTTGGAAGACCTATCATTTCGGGGTGCGATGGCCCCACAGAACGCCTCTCATCATTTGTAGACAAGCTACTTCAGCCAATAGCACAAATACAAGACTCGTATCTTAAAGATACGACACATTTTATAAGATTTATCGAAAACACTAGGGTGCCTAGTAACGCTTTCTTAGTCTCAATGGATGTCACCAGCCTTTACACGAATATCCCACAGGAGGAAGGAATTACTATAGTATGCAACGCATACGAAAAA